AAAAAGGGGGGGGGGGGGTTCTAAATAGGCCTGTCAGAATTTTCTTGCGATTTCTTAATTCAACCCTGAGGCTTTTAGGTCAGCTTCTTATGGTTTTTCAACCAGGGGCATTTGGTCATTATAACCATTTCACTTGCTAATACTCTTAATTTACTCTGACTGCATGAGGTTAAGATCACCAAAATATCTAAGATCAAGTCTTATAAGCTTAACTTCCCCAAGGCTATGTGACCAAACCAAATCTCCTCTCTCAATTGAACAGATTAATTAGTTATTGAGAACAGTACGTCCCCTTAATTCTGTCTACTGTGTTCCTTCTTGATGTTTTTTAATATAATACAACAGCATAATGTTTGTGTGTGTCATTAACATGCTCAAACATCAAATGTGGAATCATTCGATGAAAGGAAGACTTGCTCAACTAAGGTCAAATCATATCTTCATAAATCAAGTCTTCTAAATACATTTCAAAAAATGATGAAGTGAACAGTAAAGCCCGTTTCAAAAGATTTTCAATCAAATCATGTGAACAGAGATGTATAGTGCTTTTGCCCACTCGACCTACATTTGCTCTTCTTATATCCAATATTGGCTACTACGCTAATAAAGGGTTTTCAAACAAACCCCAACAAGTTTGTGGATTGCAGCCACCACTAGTCCACCAAGTAAGTCCTTGCAAGACTTTTGCAAAGAATATGGTGAAAGTTTCCTAAGGCTAACCCACAATTCCTTTGGTGCAATGCCTAGCTCAATAGAATTTATGTATCTCTAAGTGTATGGTATACATATGAGCATACAATCTAAGGATGTAAAGCAGTATACCTGCTCACATTCGAGAAAATCAAGCTTCAACCTCTGCAGCTTCTGCTTCTTGTCTTCTCCTTTGGATGGAATAGCAAACTAGGAAAGCCTATTTTTTTTTCTCTCCTAATCCGTATGGAAGTGTCTAAGTGAAAAAGAAAATCCTAATCTATCAAAAATCACCTGAAGAAGGTGAACTGGTATATTTATAGGGGTTGAGACCAACAGCTTGTTAATGGCTAAAGAAAACAGCAACCTAGTAGATTGGCAGGCTGCCAGGTGACTCCAAGTTGCTGGATATTTTAAGCTTCTCCTGTCTCGAATTTTTCCAGTTGTCTGTGAAGGTGTGTCTCAAGGAACTTGCCTACACCTAAATTGGGTGCTAAATGATCTAAAGAGCTCAGAGTCTTCAATCCTGATGTAGTCTACGTTGGGAAACTTGGTAGACTTCTTGAAGCTTGGAATCCTCCAGTAGTTCTGAGGGTTGACATTGATGTACTAATTAGAGCTAATTAGTATACTAATTAGAGCTAAATACAATTCATGAAATTGCTAATCTATGGTCCTTAAGCAACTTATTGCCTTCAGCTAAATCATAAAATGTTTTGGCTTTTGGTTGCTTACCTATGTATTGGAGCTTTGAAAGGGACAAAATCACTGAAAATCACAAGTTCTCTTGAATAGTGACCATTGTATCTGTCAGCTTTGTAATCCCGAACAATAACCACCCATGGTATTGAAGTCAACATGTTCCAAGATAGGCCAAACCTTCAGTATGGTTAGCTTTAATGGATGATCAGACGGATGGAAGTACCAAGGTGTGTCTGGTATCGTATTGTAAGATCACGACTGCATTTAAAAGTGATCTTTCCATCTTCAACAAGCCGGTGGTGATTTAGCATGGATAGGCAAGGGACAAATCTTCTTTATTTGAATTCTGTGAGGATGTATTGGTCCACTGTGGATTGGTCTTGTGATCTCATGCTGTTTATTGTTTAAGCAGTATTCAGGTAAATTTAATGTCAATTTGTTTTTGTTGGATTGAGCTATTCAAATTGACCTTGTAGGATGGGATTATTTGCCATCATCTGGCACAAATTAGTACAGTACCCCCTAAGGGTGTTTTGTTGTCAACTTCCACAGAGATTTTGCCCTTCTCTCTTCCCCAATTGGTTGGAAATTTTAGCTTTTTTTTCTTTGTTTCTTTCTTGACTTGTCAATCAAAAGTCAGGAGCTGATAGCGGTTGTTTGACTATATTTGTGCTGCTGACTTATGAAGGATCATTTGAACTTATATTTTCAGTTTTATCCTCCAAAAGATTGGCTGGTGAGATCATCTTTGCCTTCAAAGTTCAGTGCAGACATTATTCAGTCAGCACTGAATGAGCTGACCCCAAGTAACGTCAGGTAAGTTTATCACTGCTCAGAGAAGCTGTAACATACTGTATATGACACACTTGCAAAACTGTGTGTATACCTTCCAGTTCCCATATTAGTTCTTTTAATATTGAATATAAAATAATTCAATTTTTTTATTGACACATAGATTTGCCCTGGTTATGATGCACAGGCAGACAAGACATGCAAACTTGTCATTAAACACAACAAAAAGATCACCATGTGGAATAGGGCGATAATGCAAATAACAGTAACGTTATACACAACGTAACAGATGTTACAGTAGCAATCAGACTAAAGTTGTATTGGTTGCCATGATTATGACACCATATGTTTTCATTTTTTAACAGACATCTACTTCGGTTTGGATTCTTGTATATTGCACCTTATTCTTGAGTGTTATTAGAAATGTACATGACCTACCAAAACACATAGTTGAAACCTTACTTATTAGGAAGAAACAAATGGTTGAATATTGTCTCACTTTTATTTTCTTTGACACATAATGCTTCATCATTGCTTTAACCAGATGTTACCTTCTTAGTAACTTGTTTATGATGTGTCAAGGAAAACCAATGTTACCTCGATCATAGGTCGATTTGGTACGTGATATAGGTATAGGTATGCGGTACGGTATATCTTTTGATTTGTGGTACGATGAGAATAAACTTAGTTGGTACACTGTTTTAGGTTGGGGTTCGTTTTTTATAGGATTGCTATCTCTGTTATGTGATATTATTTATAATTATACATTCATATACACATAATTAACTAGTATTTATTTTGGGGTCGAGAATTTAAGCGATCTAAATCGAGAACCCATGCCGTTTAGGGTTGTGTGACCTTAATTCATGGGTCGGTTGGGGTATCTATGAGTAAAACTATTCTCATCCTAGCAATTGTTTGATTGAATTTGATTGAATTATAGACATGGTTAATGGAGTTAACCCGCTTGCGTAGGGTGCTGGGAGGGGTAGGTAAGGCTTCTTAAGAGTGCTTGTATCCAACATCGAATAATTAGGACCACCAAAGTTGGTTTATATCCTTAAGGGGTCACTCCACCTATTGACAATTAATTATGGGTTGGATGTCCTAACATGATATCCCAACAAGTCTCTTACCTATTTAAATTTTTTGGTATGCATGGTTGTTTGTCTGTTGATCCCACGTGCGAGCTCGGGTCCTACGTGAGGAAGGGTGTTAAAAGAGCTTGTATCTCACATCGAATAATTAGGACCACGTTGGTTTATAAATTTGAGGGGTCACTTCACCAATTGTTAACTAATTTTCAATTGGATGCTCTAACAGACCCAACCTTGGAATATTTGACACAATGATCACAATTTTGTTTCATTACATAGTTTCGGGCTGCCCAGAAATGGAAACATTTCGAAAATATTTTCGAATATTTTGGAAATGAAGAAACAATTTGAGAATTGGAGTTAATTATTTGAGATTTTGTTTTGAATTATTTACTTTGTTTAGAAACTTCAAAGTGAATATATTGGTTCCCTCATAACTCCAAATGAAAAGTTGAACTTATAATTTCAAACTTGTACAGTTATTTGGGCTATGCAAATATGCAAGGATCTAGAATCTAAAATGAAATGCTATGCTGACTTAACTCTATCAAACAGTCCTATTTATATCACTCTAACACTTATATGTTTGAAATTGATGGAAAAACTCTGAGAAAGACCATTATTTTGTATTGCAAGGTTCAACCTTTTGCATTTTTCAGGATACATAACATTTTACCATTATTTTGTACTGATAAATAATTATCGTCAAAGCTGAGTTCATCAACCCCCCCACCCAACCAAAAAAAAAAAAAAAACTCGTCTACTTGCCGATGAACTCTTTCAGGTTTCGATTATATTTTGTCTTGCATTACATTATGTGGCTTTTACTGGTCCATTTTTTTAAGGTTTTGTACATGTATTGATCTTTTTGGAGCAATATGACCATCGAAGAATAAGTAGTCAGCACAGGAAAGTTTTTAGTGTGACAAGATGATATGGTGATGAATGCCTATTTCACTTTGAATGGCATTGAATTTTACGGGCGCAAGATTCAAATTAAGAAAAAAGAATTTTGTTTATAATCGTTCCCTTTATTTTTTTTTTGTAAATCATTCAAAACCCTTTTTTGTGTCTCTATGGTCTGAAGGATCATCGCAAATTGTGGTCAAATGGTGTCATAAAGTAAAAATGCCCAAAGAGGAAAGATAAGAAATAAAAGAAACCAAAACCACCAGGGTTCAATCTGGGATGGGTTTGGTACACCAACTTTATTAGTATTCTTACCTAAAGCAATCAAACTATGACCTTGTTCGAAGAATGTCCTGATCCACAGTGACTCATTTCCACTCTCATTTTGATACATAACTTCAAGCTGAAAAAGTTGGTGGCATGAATTTGAGGTTAACATCTAGAAATATGCGTTTATTCTAGTTTTAATTATTTTTGGGAATTCATTAATGTAACCATCATCTTTGTGTTTTTTTTTTTTAATTTGCCACAACTATTCTATTGGAAAGTGACATTTTCACTGCTGAAAATTGCCATGCTGGCCACAGTTAACAAGTGATCCATGTTAGTAACGCATGTTTGGGCCCTTTAAGTGTGTGCAAAAATTAAAAAACAAGATGCATCTATTGAAGTATCATTTTATCATCTACAAATCTGGATAGACATGCTCTCTCACAAAACATGATTCTGCATTGTACTTTGTCTGATTTTGTGTTGTGATTAAAGCCTTATACAAGAATCTTTTTGCTTTCTATACTTGCTTTCCTTCATCTTTCTAGATACGTTTATATTTTCCACAATATGCTATCTTCTCAACAGAATTTTTTGGGAGTCCACAAAGTTTCAGGGGCATACTGACATGACTGAGCCATGGTATGGAACTGCATATTCTGTCGAAAAAATAAGTGGTTCCATGATTCAGGTTTGTTTCTAATTCTTCTGCAATAAGAAATGACACTTTATTTTCTCGTGAGTTTGATTTGAAAAGTAGAACAATTTTGGACTGAAATTCGATGCTTCAGTAAGATATCTGTAATGGTTTGCAGCGATGGATGGAAAGAGCTCCTGATGAAAAGCTGCATCTACCTATCCCCAATGTGTTCATTCCTACTGATTTATCTGTTAAAGATGTCTTAGAGAAGGTATTGTTATTGTTATGAGTTATAAAGTCAATCAAATTTCCTTTTGAATTCTCAAATATTCTGGTATCTCTGGCCTTTTGAAACAGGAAAAATTTCCACGTTTGTTGAGGAAATCACCATATTCAAGGTTGTGGTACAAGCCTGATACAGCATTCTCCACTCCGAAGGCATATGTTACGATAGATTTCAACTGTCCCTATGCTGGAAGCTCCCCAGAAACGGAAGTTCTTTCTGACATTTTTACTCGTTTGATGATGGATTACTTGAATGAATATGGTAAGTGAAGGTAGAACAAGGGAGCTTACAGCCATTCAGGGCTCTATTCTCTCATTCGCCTGTGTAAACGCGAAAAGAAAGTTATGGTTCATTGACTGTCTATTTTGCTTGATGGAACAGCTTTGTACCGTATATGTATTCTTATAACCTGCGTCTACACTGTAGTGGAATATTCTGGATTTGCGCTTTTCTACTGTTGAAATGTTTTTCCTCAAACTGAACTAAATTCTTAAAAAATAGCTTATTTTGTTTTTGCACCTTTCAGCTTACTATGCTCAGGTTGCTGGTCTTTATTATGCGATAAACCACACTGACAATGGCTTTCAGGTATATATTTTTCGTTATCTTTTCTTATTCTCTCTGAATGTCATCGATTTGTTTAAAAACATTTTGGAGTATGGTGACTTTCATTTTTCTCCTGGAAGTTTGCTGCATGTCAAAAACTCTAGGCACTTAACAATGCCATTATTTCAGAATTTTTAAACGAAAACACTAAGTTCCACAAATAATACTTCATTTGGTAGTGGCATTAGCCTGTGGAAGTTGCAAACGTTTCAATCTGTGCTTTGGCTACTACTGGGTTTTTGCATGAACTCTGATTGCAAGAATTCAGTAAAAACATTTACGATATAGTGTAGTGGTAGCTTGGGAGGGGTTTCTGGGAAATTACGGCTGATCATCAAACCGAATTTGAAACATTAGAAGTTAAGACTTCTAGAAACTGCCTAGTGTTGTATCTTTGAGAAGTTTTAAAACCTGGATGTAATGGAGGACATGGTCAGATCCAGTTGATGGGTGTTTAGTAAAGAAAGCTCTGAAACGTTAACTATAAATGGGTCTAACAAGTAGACTTGCTGGCGGTAAAAGAAATTCTCAGACAGGAGAGTTTGACGAGTGTGATGGCAGCATGAATATTGGATACAATAGATTATGGTCTAAGACAAATAAATGTATGTAGCTACATGACTGGATCATACTGAATTGCAATCCAAGCCATATCCCAATTATTCTGGTTTGGCCTATTTTTTCTCCCTATTCTTGTGAAAAGTCGTGTAGTGCACATGAACTTGTAAAAACTTGCTCACCGAGGCCCTAGCATATGGAGCAGTTTGGATCGATTGAGAGGAGAGAATTTTTTTTTTTTTTTGAGGGGGGAGGGAGGATGACAAAACTCATGTTTCAATATTTGTGATCCGTATATTGATGCATGGGGAGATCGTTTTCATGCATGCCTATATAAATAGCTGACTTTTGTAAGTGTTATCAAGCTTTATTGTCATTGAATTGTTTGTGTCCTCTAACTTTTTTATTAATGCTGCTGAACTGGGTATTTTATTGTTGCAGACTGTTATTTATGCATTGCTTAGCTTTTGGGGAGATCTTTTTTTTTTTTTTACCTGAGAACTCAGGTTCTCTACTTTTTTTACTAATAAATCGCACTCTCATAATTATTTCACGGTGGTAGATCACTCAAGTTACTCGCTCAATCATTCTCCCACAAAGCATGTTTTCACTCACCTCCACATCCACGCCATACCTCCACATCATGCCATAGATTAACCTTCCATATCTTTCAACACTGTATTCTCTCTACTTTGGTGATTATGCTCGAGAGTCAAATTCTGCCCAAACAAGACAAATTAAGATGTTTTTGGTTTTAATTTCCTGTAAACGTTTGTCCCGTCATCTTGAGATAAAGCAACTGTTGTTTTTATTTTTGGCTATGTAATGTTTCATCAGACTTCAGACATATGTGGCAGTGCTTCTGTCATCTGTGCGACCCTTTGCAGTTTAGTTAGACTATGAATCTCATTCTCACTGAACCCTTGTATATGGTGACTCCTTGATTGCCCTCTCTTATGAGAATCTGTATCTAATTGTTTTTCTATCTGCAAACAACCATGTAAAACGAGATCATTATAATGTTTCCTTTTTTCTTCTTGTGGATTTTTTCCTTTAGGTGACTCTGGTTGGTTATAACCACAAACTGAGGATCTTACTTGAAACAGTTGTTGACAAAATTGCAAAATTTGAAGTAAAAACTGACAGGTTCTCTGTGATCAAGGTAAGGATCAACTGTCTGCTTCTGCTGTTTGTGTATATGGCTTAACTTTGGGTTTATCAAGTTTAAGTCATTCTTGCACCACACTGTCACTGCAGTTGAAGATGCTCTCAGAAGTGGTATCATATGACAAATAACTTCTTTTTTAATTTTTACATGATGGATGGAATTATATTGTTCCATGGGCTTAGTTACGTTAGACCTCAATGATATAAATTGGCTGTATATGATGTTGAGTTCTATTGTTTCCTATTGTTTCATCTTCTCCTCTGTATGTCCTTCTACATCTAGATGCATGTGTGAACTACTTGTCTCGTCTGCACTTACATGGTTGCGTCTCTGGTCAGTTAATCTCAGAATAAGAAACCTCCATATTGAGAATCCCCTAGATGTCTCACCTTATTGGGTTCTTGTAGTGATTCTTGATATGACACAATAGAATTTGTTTTGAAATGGACCTTGTGACGAACTTTACATATGATTACTCAGAATTTATTTAATCTATGTTGAACAACATTCACATCCTCCATTTTTCCAAATGAGAAGTCTGGTCAAGGTAGTTATATGTCTTCTGCAACATATAATAACACAGGTATATGTGGTCCATTATTATTTTTAGTTATCATAGTGGTTGTAATTGTTTTGCTTGTCCTTAGGCATCGGGATGTTAATCTAGCCGAGTCTTCCGATTGGTTTGCCTAGGCTCGACTTGGGCTTGCACACTGAGCCCAAATTATTACTCAAGCTTGATTCGGTATAAGCTTAAGCTGAGCTCGAGCAACAAAGGAGCACTGGAAGTAAAACCGAAATCCACAAATTCTAAATCCACAAATTTGCAAATCTCAAATTCCTAATCACTATCCAAGAAAAAAAAACTCTCAAAACCATGAATTTCACATATATTTCACAAAAATTGAATCTAAATACAAAACCTAGCATAAAAAAATTCTAAATTGCAACGAAAATTACAAATTGAATATACAACCATGTACATACTTGTTTCTAATACAACCCTAGTGACGATTTGATCTAGGGCTTGGGTTGAGGGTGGTGGGAGGAGTGGTGGTGTTGGTGGACCATGGTGATTAAAACAGGGAGTGTTAACGCAAGAAACAGAGACTGAATGAGTTCTAAAACTAGGCTCACATTAGACATTTTTTTTATCTTATTGAGGTTGGATGAGTTCTAACACTTCCGCATGTGATTGACCTTTGACCCTCACTCGATCGGGAATAGATAAACAGAAGAATTAGAAGACAAATTGAGACACAACAGGTGCACCTATGGCCCGAACAAAGGGGAAATCAATTCCCAAATTAGTCAAATTGCTTGTATCCCCCATAAAATGATTAGCATAACTCAATATCGTTTTATATAGTTGTGGGGTCCCTCCACCCATTATTAATTGGATTTTAGTTGGATGCTATAACATTGTGTCACAGTCGGGCCTTACATGTCAAGTGGGCCATTATATAGCCCACTTGAAATTCTCTGTTTATTTCTCAGTTTGTTTTGGGTCGGTTTGTTAGCCAACTTACGAGCCAAGTCCTAGTTGGGTAAGGGTATAAAGAAAGCTTGTATCCCAAATGGGAATATTAGGACCGCCTAATGTTGGTGTACATAGTTGAGAGCCCTCTCCACTCATTGTGAATTGGTTTTGAGTTGGATGCCTTTAAAACTTCAATATTTTTTTTTTTTGCTTTTCCTTTGTACAACCTTATAACTCGCAAGGCGGGGGGTTCTAGCAGTTTCTCTTTGTACATAGAGATTCTACGGTAACTGTCCTTAAAAGTACTCGGCCTTTGGTTGGTGAAAAACAATATCTCAGATTAAGCCACTTGTACTGGAAAGTTATGTTTATTAGCCAAGTAATTTTTCCTGAATATAACTTTATACCCATGCCCAGTGACCTTGGCTATATAGGAAGGGCTTTTTGAGATCTCATCATTACTCTCCGCTGTTGGTGGCAGATATTTTTGTCCTATTCATTTTGGAATTATAAGAATCAGAAATTCTAGTCTTCTGAAGATGTTGTCAATTATTAGCTGCTGAGTGATATTGTCTGCATATGCATTCTGTTTTTCCTTCCAACAGGAATTGGTTACAAAGGATTATCAAAATTTCAAGTTCCAACAGCCATATCAGCAAGCAATGTACTACTGTGCTTTAATACTACAGGATCAAACATGGCCTTGGAACGATGGACTTCAAGTTCTTCCTTATCTTGAAGCTGATAATCTGGCTAGATTTTATCCTCTGATGCTTTCAAGGGCTTTCTTAGATTGCTACATAGCAGGTTCTTAAATTTCAGTGGACGTTTTCAGAATGGTTCTTGGCTGTTTAGTTTTTTCTTTATCAAATTACAATACTTCACTACTTTTCAGGGAACATTGAACCAAATGAAGCAGAGTCGATGATCGAGCATATTGAAGATGTTCTCTACAAGGGTCCCCTGCCAATTTCCCAAGCTCTATTCACATCTCAGTATTTGACAAATAGAGTTATTAAGCTTGAAAGGGGCATAAATTACTCCTACACTGCAGAAGGCCTGAATCCGAGTGATGAAAATTCTTCCCTCGTTCATTATATTCAGGTGCATATTAAGTTTGAGATGAGAGAGAGGAAATTTTCTGATTTAATTGTTTTGCTCTCTGTTTTTACATGTTCCAATGGAACAGACACCTAGATTTGCTGCCAGCATCATTTAACTAAATTTGAACTTTTGCCTTGCTTTACTCTTGCGTTAGTGTAGAGTCTTAGGAAATTACTTTCGGAACAAAAAAAAGAAAAAACATAAAATCTTTTGAATGCACTAATGGTTTCTGACTGCTTTAGCTGGAGTCATGGATCAAAACTCTGGGCCCCCTAAAATATCTTCTTTTATTGTCAGAGTAGAATTATCATTCAATTGTTGTTCTCCTTTTACTCCCATAGAATAAAAGCTACACTTTCTCTCTCTTTTGCTCTCTCTGTTTCTCTCTCATTTTCATGTTGACTTTTCACCCCAAATCTTAGATCATCGTCTCTGCAGCTCTATATCTGAGAATTATTAGCAATTTGTTCCTCTGGAATCAGAGTCTGCGATACTCTACTTTTCCTTAGAAGTTTCAAGAAACATAAGGACCATAAGTCTCATTTAGATTTAGAAAAGAAAAGGGACGGGTTGTTCTTGGTGTCTTAGTCAAAGAAGCATGCTGGAAAATTGATGTAGGACAGCTGTGTAAAATCAAAATATGGGCTATTTTGGAGCTGTGAACAATAACGTGAACAGAAAAATAGGCTGTGAACAGTATTGTGAATAGTAAAATAGGCTAAGAATCACTCCTAGTGTTCTTTAGGCATCACACCTAGGGTTAGAATTGCATCACACAACTCAAAAAACATGTAACTGCTGAAAATTCTGAAATATCTCTATCTTTTATTAAAAGTAACACCAACTATATATAGAGTTCTAAGTACTCCTAATCCTAAAAGATTTGGATTTCAAAGTCTCTAGAACTCCAAAACCTCTAGGTCCCTAAAAATTAGAAATTAAAGTTAACTAGAACTAGGACTTTAAATTCTAGAATATTTAACACTAGAATTTGATCCAAAAATATGACTCATTCCAGAAATTCTAAAAATTACAAAAATACCTTTGACTCTAAAAAATATAAAAAAGCCACATAAAACCCTAACACTATTAAACTAACTCAAAACAACTAAAAATAAGACTCCATTTATGTTTATGCAAGCTCCCAAGTAGGCTTTGCTGCGTCTAACATATGTCAAATTAAAGCTTGAGCCTTGGAAGCATCTTTTTCTCGCCTTTTATAAATTTTATAAGGTTGTTTTCATTTGTCCCCATCATCTCTCTCTGGCTTAAAAAAACTCAACCCTAGCGAGTTAAATGCATGGAACTGTTCATAGAAGTTGGGGTTTAGGCATTGTAACTCATTATCGGTGATCCACGTGCAATCAGAAAGCGGGCCCCCTATCCATTTGATGAGATACTTTTGATAGCCACCTCCTCTAGTAGACACAAGTTGATGATCAATAATATCTTCAGTCTCTTCCTTCACCCGTGGATCTGGTGGGAGTTTAGGAACAGTAACATCTGTAGGTGTATTATCATCATACGCTCGATATAAAGTAAGATTCTCAGTATTGAAGACATTACTTATTCCCATATTTTTCAGCAAGTTAAGAACATAGGCATTAGAGCTCATTTTCTTCATAATCTTGTAAGAGCTAACACTTTTTGAATGAAGCTTATTGTATACACCCTTAGGATACCTTTTAGGCCTAACACGGACCATAACTATGTCTCATTCCTTGAATTCAACAAACTTTTTCCTTAAATCAGCATGTGCTTTGTAGCTGTTGTTGCTTGTTGCAATCCTTCGTTGGTCATCATCATGTATCTCATGCATGTGTTTGGCAATAACATCAGCTTCAACACTAGGACGAGCCTCAATGGGTAAGGGAACTAAATCTATTGGTTTCCTAGGAAGTAAAACCTATCACACCCTCAAAGGGGTTGCGACCTGTAGATTGATTAACAGAGCTGTTATAAGTAACTTCAGCCATAGGAAGTACTTAGTCCCAATTAGCAACATGATCACCAACAAGGCAGCAAAGGAGATCGTCCAAACTTCGGTTAACAACCTCCGTTCGTCCATTAGTTTGAGGATGAAAAGAGGAAAAAAACTTCAGTTTTCTATTCAACAATTTCCATAAAGTTCTCCAAAAGTAATTCATAAATTTCACGTCACGGTCCGAGACAATTGTTTCAGGAGCCCGTGAAGACGAACAACTTATTTAAAGAAAAGTTTAGCAATATGGATGGCATCGGATGTCTCTGAACAAGGAATAAAATGAGCCATCTTCGAATATCAATCCACCACCACGAAGATAGAATTATGACCCTGAAAGGTTCTTGGCAACTCTAGGGCAAAGTCCATACTTAAGTCTTGCCATAGTTCATGAGGACCAAGTAATGGCATGTACAAACCCGTCTTTTTCTTTCTTCCCTTTGATATTTGACTAGTCCGACATCGTGAGACAACTTTGGCTACATCTCGCTTCAAATTTGGCCAATAATAACAGTCTTCAACCATGACAATGGTTTCATCTTCAACCATGACAATGGTTTCATCTCTGCCAAAATGACTTATTGCCCCTCCAGAATGTAGATCCTGAATTGTCAAATAGTAATGTGAATAGTCAAATAGGCTAAGAATCACTCCTAGGGTTCCTTAGGCATCACACCAAGGGTTAGAATTGCATCACGCAACTCAAGAAGCATGTAATTTTTGAAATATCTCTCTCTGTCTTTTATTAAAAATAACACTAACCATATATAGAGTTCTAAGAACTCTTAATCCCCAAAGTTAGGATTCTAAAGTCTCTAGAACTCAAAAACCTCTTGGTCACTAAAAATTAGAAAACTAAAATTAACTAGAACTAGAACTTTAAATCCTTGAATATTTAACACTAGAATTTGACCCAAAAATATGACCCATTCCAAAAATTTTGGAAATTACAAAATACCCTTGATCCTAAAAATATAAAAAAGAAGACACATAAATTACTAAATACTAGCAAACAAACTTAAGGTAATTAAAAATAGGACTAAAATAAAGCTATGCAAGGTTTCATATAAGTCTTTGTCTTCATGGCAAGCCAAATTTCACAATTCTTCATGTCTTTGAATTTATCTCTTCTTGAGCATCTTATGGATTGCATCAACTATTCTCATCTTTGAGTTGTGTTTTACATAAAGATCGTTAAATTGGAGAGTTGTCGCTTTCCGATTTTGAAGAATGCGAAACAATGTTATCAGAATCGGACCGGACCGGTTCAACTGTGAACTGGGACTTTAACCGGTCTGATTCTTTAGTTGGACCGTTTAAGGAAAAGAACCGGTTAAAAACTGGAAAACCGGTCGGTTTTTGTAAAAATCCGTGAACCGGCAGGTTTTTGAATCTTTTTGTATTTGGGGCTTTTTTTTGCCCTAAATCGCAGAAGGCACTACCAGGCTCCAGCGACCAGTGAACTCAGGCAAGATCTATTTAGATTTAAGGTAAAAAATTCCTTTCATATCTTAGTAACCAAGATCTAGAAGCTTGAGATTTACACCTCAACAATATGCAGTTGCCTGAATGATTTTAGTCTTGCTTTTTCTACTACTGTCTCTGGTTTGATTGCTGATTGGGGGCTGTCTACTAAGTGTTTTGTTGCTATTGTGTTTGTGCTGGTTTGTTGGGTCATGATCTTGATGATGCTGCATTGCTCTGGATGGTGCAGGTGGACTGATTGCTTCGTGTGTAGAGTTCTCTGTTTTTGCTTTAATCCATTTTGGAAATGTGGTTTTTTTGTTTTGCTTTGGTGATGGGGATGGAGCATCTTCTTTCCAACTGTATGCATTTTGGAAATGTGGTTTTTTCGTTTTGCTTTTGCGATGGGGATGCAGCATCTTGTTTTGCTTTTTGTTGCTATTGTGTTTTTTTCTGTTTTATAGCAAATTGTATGCATTTTAGATATATTTGGTTTTTTTAGCTAATTATTATGTTTTATAATTATTGTATATATTTTTTTATTATATGACCGGTCCGACTAGTTGACCCACCGGTTGAACCAGTGAATCATTGACTTAGTCCTCTAGCCGGTTCGATGATCGGTCCGGTTCTGATAACATTGATGTGAAGTTTCCTCTTCTTCAAGAAGGTTATCTGTGGAAAAGCTCTGCACCTTGCTCACATGCTTCTAATTACTTTTCTTTCCACATTTGTGATATGCTCTACTTATCATTTTTATTTTGTCTTGCCTTGTTTTTTGAAAGAACTGTGCTTCTTAGTGTCATTGTTGTACAGAAACAATAGAGTATCGTGATAATGCCTATCGTTTCGAACAACTTGTTTAGTGGAAGTGCGATGAGAGGTGCTTGAATGCCTATGCCAATTTTCTACACGTATTATAGACTATCGAATNTATCTCTTCTTGAGCATCTTATGGATTGCATCAACTATTCTCATCTTTGAGTTGTGTTTTACATAAAGATCGTTAAATTGGAGAGTTGTCGCTTTCCGATTTTGAAGAATGCGAAACAATGTTATCAGAATCGGACCGGACCGGTTCAACTGTGAACTGGGACTTTAACCGGTCTGATTCTTTAGTTGGACCGTTTAAGGAAAAGAACCGGTTAAAAACTGGAAAACCGGTCGGTTTTTGTAAAAATCCGTGAACCGGCAGGTTTTTGAATCTTTTTGTATTTGGGGCTTTTTTTTGCCCTAAATCGCAGAAGGCACTACCAGGCTCCAGCGACCAGTGAACTCAGGCAAGATCTATTTAGATTTAAGGTAAAAAATTCCTTTCATATCTTAGTAACCAAGATCTAGAAGCTTGAGATTTACACCTCAACAATATGCAGTTGCCTGAATGATTTTAGTCTTGCTTTTTCTACTACTGTCTCTGGTTTGATTGCTGATTGGGGGCTGTCTACTAAGTGTTTTGTTGCTATTGTGTTTGTGCTGGTTTGTTGGGTCATGATCTTGATGATGCTGCATTGCTCTGGATGGTGCAGGTGGACTGATTGCTTCGTGTGTAGAGTTCTCTGTTTTTGCTTTAATCCATTTTGGAAATGTGGTTTTTTTGTTTTGCTTTGGTGATGGGGATGGAGCATCTTCTTTCCAACTGTATGCATTTTGGAAATGTGGTTTTTTCGTTTTGCTTTTGCGATGGGGATGCAGCATCTTGTTTTGCTTTTTGTTGCTATTGTGTTTTTTTCTGTTTTATAGCAAATTGTATGCATTTTAGATATATTTGGTTTTTTTAGCTAATTATTATGTTTTATAATTATTGTATATATTTTTTTATTATATGACCGGTCCGACTAGTTGACCCACCGGTTGAACCAGTGAATCATTGACTTAGTCCTCTAGCCGGTTCGATGATCGGTCCGGTTCTGATAACATTGATGTGAAGTTTCCTCTTCTTCAAGAAGGTTATCTGTGGAAAAGCTCTGCACCTTGCTCACATGCTTCTAATTACTTTTCTTTCCACATTTGTGATATGCTCTACTTATCATTTTTATTTTGTCTTGCCTTGTTTTTTGAAAGAACTGTGCTTCTTAGTGTCATTGTTGTACAGAAACAATAGAGTATCGTGATAATGCCTATCGTTTCGAACAACTTGTTTAGTGGAAGTGCGATGAGAGGTGCTTGAATGCCTATGCCAATTTTCTACACGTATTATAGACTATCGAATCTAAGTAACTTCTCATTATTTTCTGGTAGCCAGTGTTGCTGTTTTGTCATAGTTTTTGCAGTGGCCTAATGCAGAAACATGGTATTTACATTCCTGCATCTAATTGCTGACTGTGCTGTTGAAAGTTCTGGAATATATGGCCTTAGTTAGATGTCTGGCTTTCTAGGATATGCTGAAAATTTCTATCGCTGTTATATGACAATTACCCATCTTCTATTTTGTATGTAACTCTGTGATTCTTGAAAACCTTCTTCAATGTCTGTATGCTCCAAGGATGAATTATCTGAATGTCATGGAGCTTCTGGAACTTCCTTGGTTGTGGAGCTATTGGAGTATAAACTCTCCTTCTGCCCAAAGCCCCTAACTATCAAGATGACAAACTTTGGAAGGAGTTATTTTGAGAGATAGGCTACAGTCTTACATGTTCCATTTATGTCAGTACTTGGTTTCTAGAAAATGTAGAGTAGGATACATATTCCCCTTAAAGTGACTCCATTTTGGAAGGAAAAAGAATACTCGGAAATGGTAATAACCTACTTGGAGATAGTAACAACACTAGATAACTAGCACTGGAGATGTACTTTTTTTGTCCTCGTGTTGGGTTGTCAGCTTTAGCTAAAATCAATGAAATTTATAAGGTCTGAGTGATGGCATATATATGTCTCCTCATAAAACTGAAAACAGTAAATTCACAAATATTTCATGGAATTGAGAAATTTATTCTGTTTATCACATCAGTAATGGACTTTATTTTGCAAAGCCTTTTCTCAGATATTCTAGATACTTGATATGTCAAGTTCAATTGACGAATCATATTTCCAGAGATTCTAATGCACAAGATTGCTGAAATACTTAACTATTCAGGTACATCAGGATGATTTCATGCTGAATGTTAAACTCCAGCTGTTTGCACTGATTGCAAAGCAACCGGCTTTCCACCAGCTTAGATCAGTTGAGCAACTTGGTTATATTACTGTGCTTATGCAGAGGTATGCTTCTCCTGGAGTCCGCCTGGCATAGGTTGTCTATTTTATATCTTGTAAATTTTTAAGTCACTTCCTTTTACTTATTGGAAATAATTCATATTTCTTTTACTGTAGGAATGATTTCGGTATCCGTGGAGTGCAGTTTATCATTCAATCTGCAGTAAAGGTATAATTTGTTGTTCTCGCTTAATGTGAGTAGTAAACGTCATAGTGATAATGATAATGATAATTTGAATAAGAGATAAGATAAAATAAAATAAAATAACAGGTATGTAGCACTATTTTCTTTTCTGGATTTGATATGATTCATCACTTGGGCAACAAACTCTTTGTTGATCTTGGCAGGGTCCTAGACATATTGATTTGAGGGTTGAGGCATTTCTCAAGATGTTTGAGAGTAAACTTTATGAGATGTCCAGTGATGAATTCAAGGTGAGATAAATGACCATGCTCTCTGCAAGCAACTTCCCTTCCCACATTTATATTGATGTATAACCTGCATTGGGGTTGCCTTGGGAATTTTGTACTGCATTTTTCTTCACTTCTGGGAGGGAAGTAGTGCTTACTGATCAATAAAGATGTTAGGTATTTGGACCTTTAGGATGGGAAATGCAAATAGTGTGTTGAGGAGCATCAACTGAATACTGGGAAACTTACTTGTAATCTAAGTAGCACGGATACGGACATGGGTGTCGTATCCGATATGATACGGACACGGCGATACGGCAAAATCTCAAAATATAGGATACGGGTACGGCGAGGATACGACTAATTAAAATAATTATATATATTTTTATATATATAACAACAACATTAATAATAACAAAACCAGCTGGCAGCAGCACAAATGACCAAAAAAAAAAAATTGCAGAGAAGCTAGCTAGGAAAATGGCAGTAGCACACTAGCACAGAAGGCAACAACACAGTTACACAGATGACCAATACCAAAAAAAAAAATCCCGAAGGCAGCAACTAGCAAGCAACATAGCACCAGACCAAAAAAAAACCCCTAAAGGCAAGAACACAACAAGAAGACAGAAAAATAACAGCACAATAACAACAACAAAAAATTCTCAAATTTTGAAAACCATAACACCCTAACCCAATCAAAGTAACCTAATCAAATTTTTTAAAAGTCCAGACTCCACATAGACCAGAAGAAGTAAGAGCAGCCAATAGCAGATTTGAAAAAAAAGAAAATTGAAGCAAGAAGAAGAACCTGCAAGACTGGGCAGTAATCGTAGGTCGTCAGGTCCAGATCGCAGTCGCAGGTTAGTCTCCCTTCATCTTCACTCTCCTTCTTCTTCTCCTACTCTGGTTCTCGATCGACCATCGTTCTCCTTTTCCCTTCTCTCTCTCTCTCTCTCTCTTTCTCTCTCTCTCTCTCTCTCAGTCAAACACACTAAATGTCGATTGTCGAAGCTTCACGATGGCTTTTGCCCTTTCTTTTTTTTTTTTCAAGCCAAACGACATAGTTTGGCTTATTTATTTATTTATTTTTGTTTCGACCCCCTAATTTTTTAAAATAACAAAAAATATCCCGCCGTGTCCCGGCCATGTCCCCGTCGTGTCCGAGACGTATCTGACTAAAAAAAACCTTTGTCACTACTTAGGATACTTCTACACGTGTCCGACTACTGGACATGCGTATCCATGTCGGACATTGCCACAACGACCGTCGGAGTATCCGTGCTTCCTAACTTGTAATCGAGGATCAAAATATCGTTTCGAAACGGTTGAAACATCCGAAATGTTTCCGTTTTCAGTAGATCGAAACGAATCAGTGATAGAATTAAAATTCTAATACTTCTCGGTGTTCTATAATGTTTCAAAATATTTTGTTATATTTCAATACATTTGCAAAATTATTTCAGAATGTTATATTTTGGTATATTTCGACTAATGTTTTGAAAAAATAATTTTTTAATTTTTTTTTATTCTGTTTTCGAAACAGGTCGAAATGTTTCCGTTTCCTAGGTGATCGAAACAATACACTGAAATGAAATTTTGATCCTTGCTTGTAATTACTGTTGCACAATCCTTTTGAAAATCGCAAATATGAAAATGATCCTGCCTTCAAGTCTTATCAGGTTATAAGGGCACCTTAAGAGCACATCTGACATGTTACTTTGAAAGCACTATAGCTTGTTGATAAGAATGAATATCTTGACACTTTTTTAGCCAGCCATTGGTAACTCATGAGTTCTTCCCCTGGTTCCATTATTGTACTTTTGCTTAATGCATCTAATCTAGTTTTGTTAGTCTCCCGTAGAATGGGTGATTCAGTTCATTGCTTGCTCAATAATTCTTTTTGTGACTATTCGGGGTGATTCAGTTCATTGCTTTCTCAATAATTTTTTTTGTGACTATTTGGGGTGATTCAGTTCATTCATTGCTGGTTCAACAATTCTTTATGCGACTATTTGGGGTTAGCTCCATGCGGCTGCAATTCTATGGTTAAACATCAGACCTATGTGGAGAATCAACCTCCAAGTTTCTTATAATCCCCACTACAATACTGGCCATATAGCACAATATATCTGGGGAAAAACTTATGGCGCCTATAGTTTACCCCATGTTTCCATACACCCTTTCCATAACTGGCCAATTGAGATATCTCAGGTTATGCTATATGCTGTAACTTCACCTTTATGATTTCTGGTTTGACCGCTGGTTCATCCATGTTATACCATCGTGTGACATAGCATTTGGAACCTTTTGAATGCTCAGTACTCTATTCCCTTGGACTTTTGGTTGTCCATTTAGCCAAGTCATATTGCTTATTAAGTTATGTCATCTGTCATATTTTTCTTATTTTATACTACATGACCTGTTTTCTCCATCCATGCCATGAATTTTCATATTTTGTTCTATAAAACTTACTTTCTAAATCCATGCAATAGGAGATAAAGATCCCTTGTTATTTTCAGTAATCTTGAGGTCATTCTTTATTTTGCAAATTTCTTCATCTTATCTACATGTCATGCCATTCTTTTCACCTGAAGTTCGTGTTTTGCCTCAGTTTAAATTACTAGTTAACATGACAAATAGACATTTATCACTTGTCATAATTGTTAAGAGAGTTTGTATCACACATCAAATGATTAGTACCACCAAGGTTGGTTTATATACTTGAGGGGTCACTCCACCCATTGTCAATTGGTTTTGGGTTGGATGTTCTGACATGATTTCAGAGTTGGCCTTTAGTAGATAGTGGGCCAAGTCTCATACCCATTTGCATTTTCTGGTATGCATAGTTGTTTGTTTGTTGACCCCACGTGCGAGTCCGGGTCCCATTTGAGGAAGGGTGTTAAAAGAGCTTGTATCCCACATCGAATAATTAGGACCATAGTTACCAAAAATCGTTAAACCCTTACGACTAACGATCTAGGTACAATGATCTCAAGAGGGATGGGTTCACGATCTAAATCAACTAAATGTCTAGCCCCAAATTGTGATACTAACATCAAATCGATTTGCTTTAGAACATATATCAAGAATATGAAATTAATATTAATTGATCTGTGTGGATGGATATATATGTATATATAATTTTAGATGATATGAAATTGAGCATAAATCTAAAATAAATAGTAATTGACTACATGTTTATAGATGTACTATATAACTTTATATAGTAGTGAAAGTGGTCTAGATAAAGGTTTCAAAACGAATTGCGACCTAAAATACCGTACTAGCTAAGTCTACTCCCGTCGCACTGTGTATTAAGAAAGTGGCCTACTGTGTACCCATACCATATACTTAATCGACCCATGATCCAAGTAACATTGATTAGGACTATCAAGGTTGGTTTATATTTGAGGGGTCATTCAACCCATTGCCAATTGGTTTTGGGTTGAATGCTCTAACAATAATAATGAAAACTATGATGTTTCATGGAATTACATGCAATTGGTGTTGCATGTGAGTTTGAACCTGTAATTAGCAAATAGTATACAGGCCAGCTCCAAATACCAATATAAGGCTATTCTCTGTTTTTTTTTTTTTTTTCAGAATAATATTATTGACTCAACTAGTCTTCTCTTTCATACTTCTACAGTGTCTATCATGGACATGTTAAATTATTTGCAATGAAATTGTGCTGTTGCTTTGTTGTTCTCTGTTTCGCATAATCACTGCAAAGGTAGTTAAATGTACCTGACGGCCTGTAAATTGGAACATGATTTAGGCTTATGCACAGAAGCATGGTGGAATGTGTCAACCACACATTTTCTCATTGTCTTGGCTGTAGTTTGCTTTTGTCTTTGATTTTTTATAAATGAATTACATGACTTAGCTGGTAAGTGGAGCAAAATTTAATTTGTCTTCACAAACTAATGATTTCAAAAGAAATAGCAGTCACAAACATGTAACTTCTGTTCTGGTGGTCACACAGAGCAATGTTACTGCACTGATTGACATGAAGCTTGAGAAGCACAAGAATTTAAGGGAAGAATCATCATTTTACTGGCATGAAATTTTTGATGGGACCCTGAAATTTGACAGGAGAGAGTGTGAGGTATGTTGATATTCTGTTTCCGTGAATGTGACTGGAAAGAATTTGTCAATTTTCTTTCATTTTCGAAATACCCTTCATGCCTGGAGTTTCTTGTTCAATTGTTGCTCTGTTTTCGAGCAATAAATCAGAGACAAGGGATTGCTCCAAGCAACATGAGACAATCCAAAACAAGCAATTATTATTCGAACAGTAGATCCCAAAACCATTCTTGTTAATGCTTTCGATGAAACAGGTTGCAGCACTAAAGAAGCTGACTCGAGAGGAATTGATAGATTTCTTTAACGAATATATAAAAGTTGGTGCTCCTCGAAAGAAGTCATTGAGTGTACATGTGTATGCGAGCTCGCATTCTTCAGAGTACAGAGCAGAAAAAACTGAACCTGTTGGACCAAACTCTGTTCAAATCGAGGATATTTTCAGTTTCAGGAGATCACGGCCTCTTTATGGTTCATTTAAAGGAGGTTTTGGTCATATGAAGTTGTAAGAGGTGTCACTTTCCCAAACGGGAGTTTCAATTCCAGAACTAGTGCCTGCCGATGGAATCACTGCTTTTGCCGCTTGAAAGCTTGGGGACTACATACGCAGATTTTTCATTCTCAACCGGGTAAGAATTCTATTAAAGCGATTGTCTGGAATCACATGATGCCGGGCTTTGAAATTCCATCAAATCTCAAAATTCTGTCATTATTCCATGAATTCAATTATTTTTCGGGGATTAAATGCTTATCAGTACATAGAACCAAAAGTCATAAAGAAGAATAGCTGGTTGATTACTGAATAATATTGTAATTGAGGGATTAATGTTCTCAATTCAATTTGGTAGCATGCTTCAATATAATATAATGATTTTACTTATCATCGGTTTGAAGTCTAAGTAATGAAATTCTTACCTAGTGTGCCAATTGCCAAACAACCTCAACTCTACAAAGTCTTGCCCTTTACATTTTTTAGATTGGCTATGTGAATCCTGATTCGTTATTGAGCTCTATTAAGGGTTATGTTCTTTGTTAAACCATCAGTTGTTATATATTTTTGTATTATTCCATTTACTTCTTTTTTGATAATGTGGAACCTCTCTAACGGATAGTCACATTAGACCCATAATCTCATCCCTACAAAATAAACGATACTTGTAATAATTCACAAACAAGAAGTATCAGATAAACACGAGAGTCACTAGTGAAGGTTGAACACAGTGTTACCTGGATCGTGACTTAATTGTATATGTGGTACGAGTATGGGTACAAGGTATAACGGCGTTTTGGGTTGTGGTGTGCGATGAGGGTTGGAGCTTAGTATGGTGTTTTAGATTGTAATTTGTTTTGAAATTCTTATATAGATCAATTTTTCAACTATACAAAATTATATAATGTAATATTCAAAATTAACATCAAGTTGGCCTTCATTTTTATTGAATTGGCATTCAATTTTTGACTAATTAACATTCAAGTGATGGTGAACGGTTCTGACGACTTTTGGGTGGGTGAGAGAGAGAGAGAGACAAAGAATAGATGTGAAAGACATAGAATTGTTTTGGTTGAAGATTAGTTTTATTCAAAAAGAGAATAAGGGATGTTTTAGTNACAGAGAGAGAGAGACAGAGAATAGATGTGAAAGACATATAATTGTTTTGGTTGAAGATTAGTTTTATTCAAAAAGAGAATAAGGGATGTTTTAGTATAGGAGTAATTAGTAATTGCCCGTGTCTAAAAGCACAAAGTAACGAAAAATTGAATTAAAACTTAAAAAATACTATTGTGCCTACGGGCACTTTGCAACCTAAAATAAACCATCAGTTTGAAATACTTTTTACATAATTTGTTTTAATTAAATAAATTGAAATCAATCTAGTCCCCACTAATTTTTTAAAAATTTCGACCAAACTTCTTCTAAAAATAAGAATCCAATAAGATTTCAATCTGTCTACAAAACTTACAATTATATNAATTTTTACATAATTTGTTTTAATTAAATAAATTGAAATCAATCTAGTCCCCACTAATTTTTTAAAAATTTCGACAAAACTTCCTCTAAAAATAAGAATCCAATAAGATTTCAATCTGTCTACAAAACTTACAATTATATATAACAATCATAATAATGGCTCATATCATTACAATTCAATTCTATTTCCACCACAATTATTATATATCACAACTCAATTCCATACCCAACTACTAATTCACATCAAAACCAAACATATCATCATAACCATGTGTAATTAGTTTGCCGTATTAAACACGAAATAAATAAAACACTTACAAACTGCACACAAAAAACACACATGTGCACAGAAAAAACTTCCTTCATCATCATCTTCTTTGGATCTAGGAGTTACCACCACACAAATGCCTGATGAGAATGAACTTTAACCCGCATCTGAAAGTACGATGTNCATACAAACTGCACACATGTGCACAGAAAAAACTTCCTTCATCATCGTCTTCTTTGGATCTAGGAGTTATCACCACACAAATGCCTGATGAGAATGAACTTTAACCCGCATTTGAAAGTACGATGTAATTAAAAAAAAGTGAACATTGATCTTGAACACAATGAAAGAAGAAAAATAAATAAAATACATCATCATTGATTTTCAATCTAGTTGGTCGATCGTAAACATCAAGGAGAGTATGCACAAATTCATGTGTGAGTAGTGGCACCTAAGTATTTCTAACTTCTAACTGATTTAATTTTTGTTGTATCTTATTATTATAGATAGAGATAAATTGTGCCTAAAGATACCATACAATTCATAAAATAATTGAACATTAATTGTGGACTCAACAAAAATCAAACACTAAATAGGGACACGAATTAAGCTGAAAACCTGAGTTGCATCCTTAACATACCCACACTTTGCATACATGCTTAACCAAATATTACTAATATGAATATTCTCGTAAAGGCATTATGCTGAATAAAAAAATAGCCAATGTTTAATCAAAACATATTTTTTGTTCGTTTACACAATTTTGACAATTTCCTAAAAATAGAACTTCAAGAAATATAGACAACCTATAAAATGCTAATTACACGTGTTGTGTGAGTGTGTGTGCCATTGGGAATAGAATGACTCAACTTCTATTCACCACATCATTTGGTTCACCAACTTAAAGAAATATAGACAACCTATAAAATCAATGATTGAAGTTTTGAAATTGAAGCAATACAAATTGCAAATTTATTTTCACCCTTTATCAAACACGGTTCAAAAATAATAAGTTAGAACTCAAACTATAAATTCAAGGAAATCAATAAAGACTCTGAATTTCCAGATCAAGACTCTACCCAAGAAAACAAATCATTAACATCAAGGTAAAATAAAAACTTGCCCAAACTTTTTTTTCTTTCGAAAGGTAAAACTTGTCCAAGCTTTATTTTCAGTTGTAATAAATCCTTTAACCTAAAAGAAATAAATCTATAGCAAAGCTCAGTTACCTGTCTCCAGATCAGTAGCGTTCAAATATTTTCTTAGCCCAAGCTTAATCAAAAGGAAACAAACATAATCCCTAAAATATCAGTAAATAATCGCAATAAAGAACCTAAAATTGAATCTAATGTAAAAATACATGCAACAATTTGATTAGACAACCATAAACTACATATTTAGTTTTACACAAACTTAAACTAAACCCGAAAAGACAAATTTTTTTTAAAAAAAAAACTTGACCTGAACAAACTCCAACTAAAATGAAGAAGACCACCATAAATATCTTACGGTGATGGTGTTGTGAGATAAAAGAATTAATGCAATGCCACTCATAAATTTAAAACGAAGAAGACCACCATAAATATCTTACGGTGATGGTGTTGTGAGATAAAAGAATTAATGCAATGCCACTCATAAATTTAACCCCAAATCCATCAAAAACAATTCTAAGACTACCAAAACAATATAAATTTAAGACTCAATTTGAGTAGTGCACATTTGAGTCTTGAGAGAGAGAAAGGAAATTAATAACTGCAACCATGTAAATTAGCTAGCATTGTAGAAAAAGGGAAGAAAATTGAAAACGAAACCAACACATACCTTTATTTCTTTCCAAGAATCTCCTCTTGAGCATTGTACCATTTAAAAGCAATTGAGTTCTCGATAGAAAGGTCGTAAACATAGAAAATGAACAATAAGTTATATACTCTTATTTTCGCAACTACAGAAACACTCATAATAGTTCAATCCCTTAGATATTCAAACTCTTCAATGCTCACCCATATGGAATCAAAGATTAAAAGGAATTTGGCATATTCCTTTGGTATTTTCAATTCAATTTTGCATTGAATTAGATTATTGGTAACACAACTCTATGAAGAACTACTCAACAATAAGATGCAATATGTTGATCATAGCAATAACAACATAGGACATCACGAAAAATATTACAATTTGAGTTCTTTTCACTGAAGCAATACAACAATTGTTTGCCATAAAACATTTTCCTCATAATAAATACGGAATTGTTGTAAATAAATTAGACACAAAAAATCGCACTTAACATAGAATTTCAAATGCAAGCAATTCAATTGACATACTTACTTCCTTTCCATGACCCTTTTCCTCATAATAAATATGGAATTGTGGTAAATAAATTAGACATAAAAAATCGCACTTAACATATAATTTCAAATGCAAACAATTCAATTGACATACTTACTTCCTTTCCATGACCCTCTGCACTGATGACCACCACTTAATCTCCAAAAAAGTTAGTTGAAATGGGTTCTTGACTTAAGTGCACATCACCTAAATCTATCTATTTAATTAAGGTTACTCATTAAACTAAAATTCACAATCCAGACAAAAAATAAACTAAAATTCATATTCAAAACCACAAATAAGTTGTATATCACCTAGGCAAATAAAACACTCAGTACATCAAGCCAAAAAATCTCACTTCAAAGCACCAAGGTGGAGTAGTTGTATAAACCTAGACTGAATCTCGGTATTGAGGAGGCAAACCTGTAATTATGAAAGAGCCATAAATTTAAAAGAGTAGAAATAAAAACACAGTCATTCACATAGTTAAAAAAAATTTACCACTCAGGACGCTAATGACTCTTTCACTTAATCTCCAAAAAAGTTAGTTGAAATGGGTTCTTGACTTAAGTGCACATCACCTAAATCTATCAATTTCATTAAGGCTACTCATTAAACTAAAATTCACAATCCACGCAAAAAATAAACTAAATTCATATTCAAAACCACAAATAAGATGTATATCACCTAGGCAAATAAAACACTCAGTACATCAAGCCAAAAAATCTCACTTCAAAGCACCAAGGTGGAGTAATTGTATAACCCCAGACTGAATCTCGGTATTGAGGAGGCAAACCTATAATTATGAAAGAATCGTAATTTAAAAGAGTAGAAATAAAAACACAGTCATTCACATGAGTAAAAAAAATTTACCACTCAGGACGTTGCCTAGTTCTCAGGCATTTCAACAAACATGAAAACTTAATAGTGCAAAACATGAAGAACAT